TGTCTTTTATAAATGTTTTTAGTACTTTTGTAGAGTGTCAAGCTGTCTACTCTATTGATTTATTAGCCATGACCTTTTGGCTATAACTACTACAAATAGCTTTTTAACATCTCTTTAAAAAAACCTGATAAATTACATCTGATGATCAGTTATAGTGAAATGAAAGAAGTGGCAGCTACAGTAAGAAAGGTAATGGATATGAAAAAAGCAGTTGTATTTGCTCTAGTCTACTAGCACAAGAATTGTGCAATTGCCTCTATATTACATATGATTCAAATACACTGAAGCTTGCCAACTTAGGCTGCTGTATTGTCTTGGTCCTCTGGGACTCTTACACAAAATAAATGGCTGAATGACTGGATGCCAAGACAAGAGAAGACAATTGATTAATACATGCATTCAACAGTTCTCTAACAAGATGAATTTATACATTTTTCAGCCAGCCGTGGTATAGCAACAAGTCAAAACCTAGAACATATTCTTCAAATCACATGGTTGGACATTCTGTCTCAGCTGTAACCAAGTTCTGGAAATAATGTAGAGAATGACACAAATGTATTGAAAATTTTTAAAGGTGGGGGGAGCAGGGAAAATCTGCATGAGCTACTTTTATCTTGACTGCCATTTCATTTCCAAGCACCACAGTAAAGATTTCATGAGCAGCATTTGAAAATGCTTTATAGGAGGCATTTATTGATATCTCTATCATGATAGAACAATGGAGATAGAACATGACATCCTAAGCTAGCAGGCACAGAAACTCTTAAATTACTGTCAGTTTATAAGAGCTTTCTGTAACTCTTGGTTAGGCTTAAAATAATTAATTAAAATTAATGTTGCTTATCTACAAATGGGAGTGTCAGCAAATAAGTGCTTGAAATGGGTTGAGATGTCTTCAGTCATCATAGTCATCACAATAGACCATGGACTATTATCTGACAAATGAGACACAATGATTTTCAGGTATGCATGGTACCAGGTTCCCATGTTTTTCTCTGGCATGATTATATAAGGGGATATATATGGGATTTGTTTCCTTAGATTAATTACAGCTTCCCATTTTATCCAAACTTGATAAGCTGTGATAAATTTTTGCTTTAAGCCAATTTCAAACTGTGGATTTTGAAGCTAGCTTTTTCAAACAAACTTTAGATAATATTAACTACATTTTTTTTTTCAGAAATAAAATTTAATTTAGAGAGATGAGTGTGCCATTACTTTGACTTTTAAGTAAAAGCTTCTGATCTATTTCTCTGAGCAACATTGCAGGAAGATTGAAAGGTCTATAAGAATATAAGACTCGCCTAGGTTAGCTCTTAACATAATAAATAATAGTTTGCCACAATGTCTAATGCTGCCAGTGTGTTTGTTTGCCATAAATATAATTATTGTGCAGATAAAAACAAACATAACTTTTAAATGAAAGCATCTATAAAAATTAAGTCAATATTAATATAAAAGGAATATATCTATATATCTATTGCTATTGCTATTAGACCAATAACTGCTCTCAGAAATATATATATATTTCTGGGAGCAGTTGTTGGTCTAATAAGATCTTGCCAATCTTTAATGATATATTTTGTAAAAGACATGACCTTGGCTGAAAAGCCATACTGATAAATATATTTCAGTAAAGAGTGGGGAAAAACGTTACTATTAAACTCACTGGGAACTAAAACTAGAGAAAATGAAGTATGACACAATTTAGACATTGATCTGAAAAAAGTGCTAATGTGACAAATCACTCTTTGGATAAAATTTGATTTTTTGAAAAAGAAACTAAGAAATCATATCTTTTCCATAGGGACTACCAGGGATGTATTATGAAAATCATAAATTATTGTAACAGTTAATATACAAATTATACTTTTTTTCCTCCAGATATAAAGGACTAGATGAGATTCTTTGCAATTATCATTGCTTGCTTAATTTATTTCCTATTCAAATTTTGCAAAAAAAAAAATATATATATATATAAACTTTGTGACCAAAGTTAATTTGGGATGGGAAATTGAAATTGATTTACCCAATATAACATTTATTTTTGTTTAGAATTGTCTTATTTGGATATTTTTCAATTCTGAAAATATTTTTATACAGTGTATATGGTTCTAATACAAATTTAAAAACAATTATTTTTGTTATATGGAAATTAGAATGTACGCTAGTCTGGATCTCCTTTAAAACCTAAAGAATGAAAATGCTGCTCTGTGTTGTAGTTCTGTAATACTTTTGCAGAATTTCTTAATTTGAAAACCTCAAAGTAATAAACAATTATTGCAAATGACAGAAAGAAAAAGGGAGTGTCCTGCAAAGCATAAATCTATAATAAATATGTTTAAATGTATAAATATTAACAAACAGACAGTTGTGTTTTTTTAAAAAGATCTGGACTATGACTTTTGCTCCAAACTAGAACTCTTTTATGGCTTATTTTCTGGACAACCCCCACCTACCCACACACCCACCCTCTGTTACTGATGTTTAAAAAAGGTACTGCTGTATATGCAGCTGGAAGTAACAGCCTGCATATTCAGGAGCAGGAATGTCTATCATGGCTTTGTACTCCACGTAAAACAGATAATTGGTGCTATCTGCTCTTATTTATCCTCTACCCTACAACTGAGGCTAATTGGGGTGGTAAATAGCTGATAAAGAAAAGGAACATCTCATTGGAATTCCATCTGGAACTAACCCAGAGTCTGTAGAGAATGTTAAGAAGTAAAGGGTGAATTGCTCAATATGTTC